AAACGACTAATCAGTGAGCTTGATGAGGCCGGGTGGCAGTTTGTTACTATGCGTACCTTTACGATGTCTCCGTTGAACTGTTCTGCGCAATAGACGTAGCGGAAACGCAGGCAAATTATTTAAACACGACAGCAGTGTAGCATGATCACTGCATCACAAGTGGCTAATCACGGTTATTGTGACGTTCATGTTTCTCGTTGGTAAATATGAGGTCCAGAATGGCCGGCTCTTATCCCATCCTGGATCTCGTAGGGAAGGTAACGTGATTAGGAAGTGGTAGGCCAGCGAATATTTATTGCAGTTTGGACTTACACCGTTCGCCAAAAGAGGCCGGTAACTTTGGAGCGTGCAAGTTTTGTCTTCTGACATGAGAACCTGTGTGTTAAACTGAGCCAGATAGGTTTACAATGCGGAAGCTAAACGTTTGTTACTTTCTAGCGCGGACTAGAGCGAACGGTAAAGGTGGGCAATCGAACATGTAGCATCACGTCTTAGTTGCATGCAGCACCGCAGTTAGTCCACAATGTGAATTTCTGGGTCGTCAATGGCTTGCGGAAGCAACTCATCCGGTGTTTGCATAATTAAGTTACATAATCGACAAGGTCTATCTTTACGTGGGACGGTAGAAAGATCTCCATAACAGTTATTTCCTTCTTCAGCCACGTCCCAATTATCATTATCAGGCTTAACCATATTAAGGCTTGGATACTTTGTTGTGTAGACACTGAGCATTGGTGTACATAGGGTTAGTCTTACAAAAATTAGTGGTGTATCTCAGCGTCTGAGTAACGGTTGTGAGTCATTGCCGACGCATGTGAGATTAGCAACAAATGGTGATAAACTCTCGACACGGAACTTTAATTCGCTTCCCACTGACTGGTAGAATGCTCACAAGCTGAAGTTTCGGTTTAAGTAAGTATTTAGATAGGCACCGCCCTTTCATCGGATAGTTGTGTTTAGCAGTGGTCATTTCGGAATTAAGACTTACTGTCTGCCCCGGACGACTTTGTTCTCTCACGGTCATTTTGGTGTTAGTCCTGAGCGCTGTTATTCATAGCACTGATACGAGCTTGCTACGCTACTTACGTTATGTTGCAAGTGCAACTTCTGCCATTTGTTTGAATTGGAACGAGACTTCCATCACCTTGTGGCCACACGCTTTGACTTTGATGATGAGCGTAGTATTATCATAAATTTGGGACCACAACATCGAGTGCGAGCACCTGACAATGGTAGGGCCATTCCTCCCGATCATGGGCTTGAAGCTTCAGTACCAAGAAAATGGATAGATCTTTTATTGTTCAGATGGAACTTTGGGGAAAATGCAAACACTGCATGAGTCAGTCCGAAGACGAGGTTTGGAGAAATGAGTGTTCCTAAGAGCATTCACTGATTGTAGCGTCGCCAGTAGACACCGTGGTTTCCCGTTGTGTGTCCAGTTTGTGTGCTCATGATGCGCACCTTACTAGCCGGCTTTGCCTGGACGCATATTCGCATATCTATGGAATCCAACGTTTTTGGTCGTCAAGTATCTTATCTTTAAAGAAAGCTGTGCTAGGCTCAGGAAAATTAGAGCATACCATCGTCACGGACCAGTTGGTTCAGCAAGAAATAACCGGTTTGTAACTGAATGAGGCTGAGTTTTTGGTGTAGTGATTGATGCACAGGCGGAGGTGCTAGGGCCCTGTTTGATCGCTTCAGTTGTCGCTATTGCAATTGCTACCGGTTTTGGTCAGCGCCAACAGACGCGTGTGTAGCCTTGTATTTAGCTGTGGTGCATGTGTTCCCGCGCGCCGTTATAGCTTGTTCCACGGAGTTGTTCTCACACAATATAGCCTGGGCCATGGTAGCGGTTTCCGTGGTACGTGAAACTTGGTTGTTTGCTTGCATTCGGATTAGAGTAGTCCGTGTATCAAGCGTCACGGTTTTAACCCAAACCCTGTTTCGGCCACTATGTTCAACTGCGGAGTGTTGGGCTACCAGCCCAGCTGAACTTCATTCCGAAAGGGAACATTTATTAAATCTAGCTCACCCGACCATCGCTGTTATGTAACCTCATCGCTGTGCCAACATAGCTATGGCTCTAACAAGTTAAACATCCATGCATTATTGCGGAACCAAAATATGTTTTTATGTGGTTTATCACTTCCATTGCCCTTGTAGTTATGTGGGCACAATTAGCTTGAAAATATTTACCGCATGAAAGGCACGAAATACCAGGTTGAATCATTTCCCAGCAGCTACAACCGCTGAGCTTCCGATTTTCCTAAGTTTCGCTGTGTGTTGAACATCGTTTTCCGCCGTATTTCTAACCTTAGGTTCGACGATGAAGTGGCTCAGTTGTCTACACAAACATACAAGCATAAGCAAACGCCCACCGGATAAGGCAAGTGATTTTCTGACCTGGGCAGGCGGGCTGCCGTTAGAAGTAACGAGCGCTAGTCACACCAAACGAACATAGGCAATTTATGAATTTCCGATCTATAGCGCTTGCGGCAAACTGCAAAACTTGGTTCTTTTTCGGGGCTGGTTATCGTAATATGAAAAGTATACTGTAGTTTGCAAACTATGGTTCATAAGCTAAACACAATAACATGAGTTTACGATGGTTGTTTATTATAGAGCATACCCTTTTCAGGGCGGGTGGAAAAGCTAACGGTGACTTGAAAACCAAATAGCTTCACTTGTGAGTTTTGGTAGCATTTCGTTACAAAATGCTGAACATGTAAAGAATAATCGGGGGTTTGACAACCACGTTGTGTAGCTGCTAAATCCATGTGGAATGAGTGTAGTCTCCGGGATGAGCAGCACGATGCTGAAGATTTATCCGCGAACACTATCTCCCGCTCTATAATATTGAGACCAAACGGAATGGCACGTGGTAGCGTTTCGGTTAACGTTTAAATGGTCGTGGGTTTGACGCTTATTATCTCCACATGATGAGAGCAACCAAGTTCAAAAGCGAGTGCGGATGGCAGTGATTTCGGGCAGGCATAGCCCAATATGTAGCTGATTTATCAACTACGGTCCCATTGCTCGAACTGGTCAAGGCTCACTTCGGTTGGAATCGAGGTCCATATTGCGATGACACAACGTAATCCATTATGATAACGATTACTTCAAGTGGACTCTCTAATCAGTCAAATGTCCCCTATTCCCCTAAGGCTGTATGTAGTATTTAGTTTTCACTAGGAAGCTACGTGTGACGGACTTTGGAGTAAGTGTGTGGTAGTGGCAAACGAAGCTGTCAAGTAGACAATACTTGCTATTGGATTGAAAGAGCATACAAGTGCCCGCCACATACATCTAACCACTGCATAATAAGATGCGATTTAAACAGTCAACCCTGTCACAATGTTGGCGAACTGCATCCATCTTGCGTAAGTAGCACCGTCACGAATCGCTCCCTTTAGCATCAGGGGTATGAATCTTCGTGCGAAGGACTCAGAAAACGCCTGCGAATCGCAAGCGTTTAATTAGCTTCTGCTCAGCAGATATCGCCCTGGTCTCAGGAAGGTGGATGAAGAAGGTTGTTCTACCTGGTCGCTTTAACTGAAAGATATATGGTAATGCGGCAGGTGTTGAATGGACAGACTCGAGAAACGCACGGGCGAAGTTGTCTTCAAAACGCATAACGCGGATGCAGCCGACGCATGCTAAAATATTCCGGGATTACGCTGACTTACGCGCGAACTCACATAGAATAATCCGACCACATAATTGGACTGTACCTCGCATCGCCAAGGAATATGCCATTTATTATTTTATTTTATCCTGTAACCTATCCAGGTGTTAAATTAATCAAAATTCGTTTACCGTCGGGTCCAACAGATTAGTGTGTTCAGCACTTACACTTCTATTGTCTCTGTCTTCAACACCCGATTGTTGACAACCCATCGGTTGCTCGTGTCGCTTGCATAACTCAGAACACGAGTTTTGTTGTTTCTTGTTACCAGTACAATGGACATCGACAAACCACTCTAGTTTCGCATTGCATCCCAATATAGTTATCAAACCTAGCTTTGCCCCAAACCTTGGTTTCGGTGGTATTCATTTCTTGACATGCGTGAATTTCCGATTATCCTAGCCAGATTCGACGGGAGATATAGCTCTTAACTTATCAACCTGGCCATGGGTGACAGGCGCGCAGCCTATATCCCCAAATTTCCATCGTGTCTCCATCAATCAACAATCACAAATGCTCTACTGGTATACCTTTTACTGGTCAATCATTGCTTCCTTACAAATTTGGCTGCAGGCTATACCATCTGTAATCTGTCTGGCTACGTTTTGCTCATTCTTGCTTGTGGTTGCTTTTGCTTTTTTGTGTTATCGACCGAAAATTAGATCTCATTAAATGTGTGATAAAACCGCTTGACTTTGGTCACTTTTGATATTCATTGTTATTCAATTGCATCGTAGTCACAACGAGTTTGATTTTTTAAATTGTCCCTGGTATGATGGATCATTTCAGGCTTGTAAATCCGGTTTCGGTGAAGTATAGTCTGTTCCGACCTTGGAATTGGACAACCGGAGACTGCGCATATCGCTCACAGCTGGCAAACTTGTCACTCCTATTTGTGTCGGGTTCCCTATGCCAAAACTGCTCAAGTTTTACAGAGACATTACAAAGCAAATATGAAAGCCACGTTTTTGATGCTCAACCTGGAATAGTGATATCGTACATGAGTAGTTGGTATAAAACTGCAAGAGAAACAGCCGGGTTGTATGTTCAGATGTTGCAGTTAAAAAAAGTATTTTTTCAACGCTATCAAGCGTGTGTGTTTGCGGTGGCATTGTGCTGCATCGTTGAATGTCATTCCCCAGTCGGTGTGATGGTGCTGATTTGACAAGGGCGTTTCGCCATCTACGTGACAACAATCACAGGTAAGTGAAGGAATTACTTCCTACGAGCATTTAGACGTATATTTACACACGACTCCCTTCCCTATGCAGTGTTTAAACGAGAATCATGCTAAAAATCAGTTGGTTTCTTCCAGGTACTCAGCCTAGACTCAGATACTCTATTCCACTATGATGTCGTTGATTTGTGGAATCATTTCAAGAAGTTCAATGCAACCCAGGTAAGTATTCACACGTACGCTGCACGTAGTCTTTAAATCAAATGAGAATTTATAAGCTCTCAGATAGTGCATCAGTAATAGTTGTTCTATCGTGAAACTTGACTTGCGCCATTTACTTGCTGTTTAGGTTCATGGTAGCCTTCTTCCAACTAAGTCAATATTATCGACCTTCAGGTCTGTCCAACATATGGATGCGCAGACGTCTCTTCAGAAATCATTGTCAGCCACTTTGACAGTGTCGTTATGGGTTTTTTACGTTGGATGGGTTATGCGTAACCAACAATTTTAACGCTTGGTGGGAAAGGTGCTACGCAAACGATAGTCAGTCCATAGCTGAATATAGCAACCTATATTTCGGAGGTTCGAACATAGATGACTGTACACAAAACTATTGATACTAGCACATAAGGCGATGCCACTAATTGGTTTTTCAAGTGGTAATATTGATAAAGTAGTGGCCTAAGTCTATAAATCGGACCAGGTGAAAAGATGTTTGTAGCTTTGAGATAAAATAAATTGCCTGCTGCACTAACTAATATCTGTGGAATCACATTTGGAGCAACGAAAGGTGGTCCAATAAAGTTTGGAAAGCAATTGCATAGCGAAATGAAAAGCAGTACGACAGATTGACTAATTGTTTACACGACGTTACGTGTACTGCCCACCTTTGAAACGTAGCGGTAATCCCGCTGTAACGTATGCGTCCATAAATGCCATCTAAATGAACAGAGCAGGTCTAGTGAAACGTGCTTATGGCCGGATAAAAACACACGGTTAGTCTAACCAAGTGATGCAAAAAGTACCTGAGGATGGTTACCACAAATAATAAGGTATTGCAGGCCAAAATTGTACACCGGAACGGATTGCAGCGAACGAGAGAAAAAGTACATGACAGTTGTCATGTCGACGCATGTAACATGCGAGCCACCGCCGTCGAATTACACCGCAGTATGAGTAAACAATGATGAGGAGGTATGAGGCATCTATCTTCGCACATTTTTATCATTTCCGTCAAATGATGTCAATGCCAAGTAACCAGATTCCAAAGTATATCTCACCGTCGTGCAGAGGGCTGGTTGTTGAGAATGGTGGATGAGAAGAGCATAAATTTTCGGATACATACGAGCTCACATTCCGGCAACTCACTAATTACCCTGGTATGCCTCTTGCTAATCAGCACTTGCTTACGCATAATCTGACAACTCATCTACAAAAACTGTTAACCGCTCTCAGCATGTTTATTTGTCTCAGCCTCCCTTGACAATCTCGACATGCTTTTGAATATATTGTTAGCTTGTTCAATGTCGCGTGCTTTGCAGTAAAGTGTTATTGATCAAATTTCCCGTCAAGTGTCTTTGCCGTCCGTACCGTGACAACCACCATAGCCTGTTCACTCTTGCACGCCTCTGCCATACCCATATGCATGGCCTTCCGTAGCGAGTACGAGTAAGTATCAGTACCCCGACGACTGTTCATCTGTGACCCTGGCGATTCGGCATTCATGAGTCTGAGAGGAAATTCTCATCTAAGAGTTGAATTACGCGTTTCCATCGGAATCAAATCACCAATGGTAACGGTTATATTTACAACACATCGGTTAAAAAAGACAAACTCCGCAACCATTGGGTTTCCAGCACCAATACGAAACGGACGATGAACAATCCGCTTTGCTAGTCAACAAGTTAACTTACAAAGAGCTACAGTATATTTGAGTAAGCCTTACGAGGCGTGGTTATAGGACAAGTGAATAAACGGCTCTCGAAATCCACACTAAAGCCACGGCTCCACGCGCTGTAAAACTGCGAAGGAGCTCACTGAATGGGTTGCACGCAAACTAACATGGAGGCGAGCTGAAGTGGCCAGACATGGCGATGTGACTCGACACATAACCGTGCCACACGTGAAATGGTCATCAATCTTCGATGTACCGAAGATGATGAGATACACGACAGTGTTAAATATGGCAGAAAACTCCACCTACGAGGATTTCTCTTGTGATATACACGAGACCTATGAGAGTAGAGAATACCTGAGGCGACATCAAAGTATCCAACGTGGCGAGGGCGCCGGGCGACAGCGTCTGCACATTTCCGTACAGAGCTAAACTCATGGAAGGACAATTTGTGATCTACACTGGTACAAGGGCTGTGCACCCATTTGTATTCGAATTATGGATATAACACAGGGAATTATTGGGTTGTGGTAGTGTCAGTGTTACGATCGGAAGGTACACTAAGGCTTGGGATGAAGGGAGTCACAATTTGTTTTAAGTGTAGTATTGGTCGGATCTCCATTCCCAACCGTCTGTCGTTATATTGCACACCTACCATGAAGAACCAAGGCACTTTATGCTGCAATTTAAAGACCGAAGACTTCAAGAACACACTGTGCCAAAACGGACTGTCCATGGCTTGGGCGTCAGAACGCACCTACTACTATTGATCTGCAGCCTAATGGTAGGGAACACCTTGCCTGATTTTCGAACATACAGTGCGCAATGCAGAGATAGAACGGGTATGACATGTGCTCATGAGGATCCTCCTAAGTTTTCGGGCTTGTACTCTAACAGGATCTGTGCTAGAGACTAGGAACGTGCGTCCAGTCGCACCGACTGATTCAATTCCATCTATCGGCCGGTTGACGAATGGATTACACTTGCTTTTAAATCCGGTGGTCACCGGTCTGAATCCGAGTAGATGTGGGCGGCCTCGCGGTATATTCAGCCCACGCGGCTATGTTAGTTTGCAGCGAAGCCTAGGTACCATGTGCCGACGTGCTCCTAATGCATCTAGAAAACCTATTGACAGCTCAGGGAATGCTAGCACAGGAAACGTGGGCGGTAATTTGTAATCTAGGTGTGTTTTTGGTGTTTCGTTCTATATCAAGACCTCGTAACACCTTGGATCAACGATCCGCCCAAGAAGAAATGCAAACGGGATTTCCTATCTTTCCAACCCCACCTGAAAAAGGAACTTAACTCATCTTACATCTCGACGATTTCCTCATACGTGGACCAGTGGTTCGCATGTGGACGCCATGCAGCCCAGGCGGACTCCGCTAAGGATTGCGACCCCAGAGTAAGAGCGAGTTGCTCCCATTCAGTGTTTCGGAAGGGAAGTTCTCAATGTGTAGGACTGTCTGCTAGTAAATGGCTCGGTGGTCAGATCGACTCAGAAGTTCAAACATTGATGAATTCACATTTCTCCGCTTTGATACACAGCCAGTGATTACGTACTGCCAATGATATTGCTATTGGTTAAGCCTACATCAGACACGTGCGTCCGACAATTTATTCGCATTAACATGTGAACTTGAAGGTGATTATTGACAGGTGATGTAGAGCCTTTAATTGAAGCATTATTGGTCATTATATAAAGAAGATTTAGAGATGTACATTTTGACTTGTTTCTATTATGCGTTACTCAGTATCCATATAGCCCAAACTATTTCCAAGTTAACGTTAACTAAATACTTTTATTGCGTTTGCGTTACTATGTGAGGTAAAGCAAGCGATGGACAAGGTATTTGGAAAATGTGACACAGTGCGTCAAGATAAGCTTTAGGGCTATAACGACCCCGACAAACCAGGTTGGTTTGGAAGTCTCATTGGAATCCGCCTGAAACGGACATGAAGGTACCATACAAAATGAACGATGGTGCGAAAGTGTGTAAAGTGGTGCAGACGAAACACTGGCAGATGCCATTTTTTCCCCGGGAACATGCCGAGAATAAATATGCCGGAAGAATGTTAGTATCACGTCGACAATGACTGGGGAAATCCTCGGGTCTCTTAAATTTTGAAGCAAAGCACTGGTGCTGACACTGATGAGTCCATGCTTGGATCTGACTCAAACATGAGCTATGAGATTGCTATATTCATGACTAGGCAGCAAGATTCGTTAATTGCATTAAGGGACGCACAACTGTCTCCGATAGACAGAGCAAGTGAAATTAGCCACCTGCTTGTCGAAAATGCAATAGGGATGGAAGAGTCAGATAGACTGCACACTTCTCTAATGGGCATAGGTTTCACTTGGCTTTTATCAATACAACCGAACCCGCTTTACCGCCCATCCGGTATATTGCCCACCACGATCTATTGCTCAATTTGTTTAAACACAGGTTCTTTTTTTCAGAAATATACTAAATTTTCACCGTCTACATACCCATTGCCGGAGTCGTCCTGCCGCTTAATTACCCAGTTGCGTGGGCTGTGCACTTGTCGCCTTGTCAAATTTACGACCTCGCTCCAACATTTTATCAATAACCCCCAGCTAGCCACTCCGATCCAGTTAACAAGTGGTACGGAAAACGTATGTTCGTTAACATTGACTTTTGAACAACCAAGTCGTCGTCGGCATTCTTGATAGATTAGAAAATGTTACCTACGTCATTGATTACACGAGCAAGCTAAATGTACGGAAGGCTGTAGGCGAGCCCACAAACCTGTTCAGAACTAGAGAACAAAGCAAAGTCTGGTAATCTTTCCTGTCCATATCTGTCAGCACCTAAGTATGGCCAGTAACAGAAAGGATTTGTCCTTCAAAGAATACCTGCCATTTTAGACAAAATTAGGTCTTATCCACCAGGAACCTCGTAGACAAAGTCGTCGCGTGATTTACATAATTTTCGTCATACCCTAGCCAGCTTGATTACCAGCAAAAAGGAGCTCGGACAGATTTTGTCGCACGGCACTGCAAGCTCTCTGAGAAAGAAACGATGTTGAAGGAGGATGAAGTTGAAACCGGATTGAAAGACTATATGATATCGGTTAGTGAGGCCAACCAGACATTTACATGCCCGCTTCTGAAGAAAAAAGCAGAATTCAGAGCACACTTGGAAATACATTTGCTGCCACAGAGAGATGGTTGCAAAGACGGGAGAATAGTAATCAAAGTGTGTATAAACGTGCGCATGGCGAAAGTTCTGCGGACAAAGCAGTCTGTGAAAATTGACTGAATGATAAACTGCCTAAACTATTATATTCATTTGATGAAAACAACTTGTAGACTGCAGATGAAATAGGTCTTTTTACCGAGCAACTCCAGAGGGCTGTTTATGTGTTTCTGTCAACAAGCTCAGCGGAACGACAAATTCTAGAAATCGGATCACTCTAGTGCGCTGCGCGAATATGCCAGGCACGGATTAAAGAATAGTGGTTGTGATTAAAAAAGTAAGAAATCACGATGTTTTTATGGCGTGAAGCTAGACTCATTTCCCGTAACTTCAGAACTAGCAAAAATATGTGGATCAGGAAAGAACATTTCACAGAGAGGGTTCTCAACTTAGACAAGGAGCTACTCCAAAGTGGCCAAAAAATTATGTTGCTCTTGGATACTCGCATAGCGCCCTCACATGTAGAAGGCCTGAAAAGAGTCAAATGGAATTATGAATATGCCGTAAGAAGACGAACACTGGCAGATGTCCACATTTCGTGTTATCTCTTCAGTGCCAAGACTGAAGAAACAATACGAAATGTTGACATCTGCCAGTGTTCATCTTCTTACGGCATAGTTCAAATTGCTAAAGGGATCTAATTGTTTCAAATTTCTCAAAAGACAAATTCCCCTTGATTTTGTCAGGCAGTTACGTCGTATTGTAAGTCTGAAGTGTAAACTTGTTTGCTGTCGTTCGGAAATATCTGTTCTCTCAAACTGTATCACCGTACTACAATATCCACGTTCGATTTGGAAGGTGTTGAGTAAAAATATGCTAAAGCCGTCCAATAGAAATATCCGGCGCATTGCTTCTGCTTAATTGGAGACTGCTCAGACGCGACTCACTGCTCTACTCGAGACGCATTCCCGCCCAATGCCAATATTGGATGGCTTATCGTTGTGTTGCCAGATTGTGTTTACTAACTTCTGCAAATTTACTCTTGATCGTACAAAGGAGAAATGTAAAGTCCGGTGGAAGAATTCACTAGTTGACAACCGGGAGGAGCCTGCTTATCTTGACCCCAATACATACGTTTTAAACCTGTCAAATGTTCCCCTTGATGCCTTACAACTGGAAGCATCATCACTCGGAATGGATTACAAAGTCACAACTGGTAAGCTAAACCGCTTATTCATAGAGGCACAGTTTGAAAATTTCTATGACCAGTTAACAGGATTACAGGCGTCTAGTCCAGATATGTCAAACTGGTTTAGGAACAAACTAACTGATATTGCCCATGAGGTCACAATGACGCCAGTGCGTTAGAAGTGTTTGCTAACAAGCCGTCACCTTTGCGCACTACGAGAGCTGAGGACGAAGTGGATGATTGTACTTAAGCCAGACAAAAGCTAAAGAGCCGTCATTATGTGTAAGGAAGAATACACAGAAAATGCAAGATTTACTGAGTGATACAACAAATTTAAACTCCTTCCAAGGACAGAGGATGTCAGTGAAGTGGAAAGACGAATCACGGAACACCTAAAGTTGCTCCTCTTACACCGCGTAATTGATGATTAGGTACATAACAACCTAAAACCGGGAGGGTCCAACATACCTCAGCTATACGGTTTGCCAAAGACCCATAAATGTGGTATACCGTTTAGACCAATCTTGTCAATGGCAAACTCGGCACAACATAAGTTGGCTCGTTGGCTGGTGGAAGTTCTTGCGCCGTAAAGATAGCAGAATATCCCACGCCGTCTGAAGGACACTTTCGAACTCACAGATGCTTTAGATGAGTTTAACCTATCCGATAAAGTCATGTCCACATTGGATGTACAATCGCTTTTCACCAATGTTCCGCTACATGAAACAGTTGATTACGTGTGTGAAATGACAGAGTGCTCCGAGTTTACTCTTCCAATGCAAGTCGAATTATTAAAGGACAGCTTACTACTATGCACTGAGAACATCGGTTTCCAATTCCAAAATATTCCCTATCGCCAGATAGATGGGGTGGCAATGGGTAGTCCGTTTGGCCCAGTGCTAGCAGATTTGTCATGTCGATGATGGAAAATAAGTTGAGTGTGGAAATATCGCTGCTCTTCTACTATAAGCGATATGTGGATGATATTTTAGTGTTTAGCTCATTAGAGGAGCACATTGCGCGTCTGGTCGATCGCCTGAATAACATGCACATGAATCTGAAAGTAACCAGCGAAACTGAGAAAAGCAATTGCCTCCCGTATCTGGACGTGTTGATTTTCCGAAGAGCAGATGGGTCCATCAAAAGAGAGGTTTACCGAAAACCGACTTGGTCAGGGCAGTACTTGCACTTTACCAGCTTCTACCGAATGCGACCCAAGCGGACCTTAGTCAAGACGCTATTCAACCGTGCATGGAAAATATGTACTGCCGACAGTTTAAATGATGAGATAAACTCGCTCAAGGATACGCTGTTGAAAAATGGCTATCCAAGTAGATTCATCGACAAACATAGTCAGGCGAGGGTGCCGGGACAGAAGGTTTCGACAGTGTCTAAAAAGACGGTCTACATCGACTTACCATTTAAGGGAGATTTTGCTAATATGAGGACAATGAAGCGCATAACTTCCGCAGTACAGAGGATTTATTATGTTGCCGAAACTGTCCTTATCAACCGGACTAATCGGATACCTGTTACCCCAATGATGGAAAGACAACCTATTGGAGCCAACTCACATTGTATTTACCAATTTACTTGTAGTTGTGGTATACACTACATCGGCCGTAACCATAGATCGTTGAACTACAGTATAAGGGAACATGTACCTAAATGGTTGCAGCGTCAAATCACCCAGTCGTCTGTCGCTCATACCATCTGTTCACGTAAGTCACCTGCTTCATCCATAGGTAGGAATTTACTGGCCACCTGTCACCAGTTTGATCCGGAAAAATGTTTACAATCGTGTTAAGACATGCATTCGCCCGTTTCCTATGTTTTGCAGAGGCTGTCGCGATCAGCCGTATTAAACCCGCACTCTGAGTGCAGAAACAGCTATTCGTAAGGCAACCGATGCCCTGGGCGTAGGGGTGTCACGCCTGCCCTTCTACCCTGTTCTAAATTGTTCCGGTCTCACCCTACCTGTCGTCTTATATATTTTCATGTTGTGTTGGCACTGAAGAGACAATACGAAATGTTGACATTTGCCAGTGTTCGTCTTCTTACGGCATTATTCAGATGGAATTGTGCCGGCAAAGGCGACAAATATTCTGCAACCCATCTACCAGATTTTGAGTATGAGTCTGGTAATCCTTTACAGAAAAGAAAGAGTAGACCGATTTCTTTACCACATCGAAAACAACGTGTTATCTGACTCATCATCGGCGGTGCATATCATCGCTAAGGTTTCTGGGCTCGATGCAATTTAGTTCGTTTTAAAATCTTTTAGAGAGGTTGCCGGGGCAACAGTAAAGCTTGCTTTCGGCATGCTGGTTTTAGTCGATTGGCATCCTATACACGTTCTGATGACGTCGTCATCGCTGAGGACGGATCATCGTTTGGACAATCCCGGTCATCAAAGCAGAAGAGTTCGTCGCCAATGAAAATGATGTGGAAGGTACCTCAGATCTGACAATTTTTGAAGATCAAACCGTCAGTAAAAGGTTAGAGAACAATATAGAACAGAAAGAAGGCAGCGATTCTGAGGTGGACGTGCCGGAGATCACTCTGAGTAACGGCGATCAAAGCGCGTCGCAGCCAATAGCAAAAACTGTGTGTATGCTCCGGTTAGCTACGGACTTGTGCATAGCTAGGTGACGATTTCATGTCCCAATTGAAATTCCTCCATGCAAATTTGACTGGAGAAACGCAGCAAAATAATACTAAATTGAGGTTGGATTGTCTTCTCAACAAAAACGTACAGCAGCGCTAGTTTCTATAGCTATCCAGGAAAGATGTTTTAAAATTACTGATCATAATCTTTTGTAAGCATTGGTTACAAGTACGTATTTTATATTTTTTAACATTTTGCAATGCGATGATATCTGGTAGCATAATTTAGTGGTTGTTACCACCTTGGAAAAATGGCAGTATCGTTTAATTGCCCACCCCGCTTTATTACCCACATTCGAAATATCCCGATGGTGGGCAATAAAGCGGGTTCGACTGTATTTTGTGGCAAACTGTGTTGATCACTTATTTGGTCGATGTCCACGCCAAATGCAGTACAATTCCCTTGGAAACCTCCACCAGCACTCTTTATTCCTCAATCTTTTACAGGCTCTGGCACTCGCATGGGAACAACAGAGTGCAAAAAGTGACTGCTCATACGCACAAACATTTCCCATTCCAGTGAGTCGGTCAAACTTGCTATACCGGATTTTTCAGTGACGTGGTGGATGATTCAGAGCTCATTGCACTGTTCGGTTGTATTGGACTGCCGAATCACTATTCCAATCGTACCTTCTTGCTAGAAAATGTTGTTGTCAGGTGTGGTTCGGGAAGAAAAGTTTCATTTGGACATTAGATCTCATGCTAGCATTATCACACTTCGACTGTCAGATTTCTCTCGCATTAATTGTTTCAAACGTTATTGAATTTTTACCTTTTATGCAGCCGAATGGATTAAACAGTGGACTGGTTCTGATGCATCTCAAAAAGCTGCGAGCTCTCCACTGGGACAAACTTCGTGACACTGCTTTAAGGGAATATTTACAGCAGTTTCACGTACTCCATCAAGCCGATCAAGTGAGTAGCAACCGGTAAAGTATAGAATAATGCAGAGTAGACAATTTTGTGTCGCATCATCTGCAACCGAGACTTGTCGTCGGGATTTTCCAAGGGCTTACATGTACCTCTCTGTATGTCCATGCCCGCTGTGTAGTAGTCGATGAACCGAACAACGATTTGTTTAGCGGGGAAATGCAATGTTTTGTCCAGCCAAGTATTTTGGTACAGTCTGCAGAAATTCACGACACATCAGCGAAACATGGGAACGAAGTAGATGAGGTGTTCAGAGATCTTCCTTTATTCATAAACACAATGCGCTCAATGTTTATTTACTGAGTCATCTCACAAACAACCAATGCTGACGGCGAAGACCCGGGGGGCTTTGTCCATTGTAACACCCCTTTGGAAAAGCTTCACATAAAAGTACCGTTGACTGAACAGATTCGTCTGGGGACGTTTACAGCTCTTACGGACGGGTGTGTATGAGTTAACAGGTGAGAACGCTGGCTGTTGTGGTGCGCACAGAATGTCAACCTTCGACCGGCGACCGAAGGAATCAGGGAGTTAGATGGCTGAAGAGACCACCGACTGGAATTTGCGTAGATGCAAGGTACCTTAGAGTATCTTGAGACGGTGATGTTCACATGGAAGCAGGGCGACAATGGGGAGTGCCGGTGTACTTCTTATTCTTTCACCTTCTCTTGCAATACCGAACAGCCTGAGTGTTGGACAGTCGGTCGGATATTTCTAGTGCCATACCAACTTGGCACAATGTTCTCTTAAGGGCTAATACACGTACGTACATCAGTCAGCCTTTAAAATAACCGTGTTATTGAAACGGCCAGCTTCGCAACGGCAGCATCCAGCGTTTCCAGGTGAATACTTAGGGATCGCCATACCAGTGAAATCTGTGTGGTAGCAAAGAATTAATTGGAGGGTACAGCCCATCAATAGTCATCAGTGATAGGGCTTATCATGCATGTCAAAGTAGGAAATAGCAGAGAAATGTAACGCAGCTGAACGCAGTGTATAATTCGCGGTGAACTTTTATGATTAGGATGCAGGTGAAGCAATGAGGAAACAGCGTATCACATCCCTCATCGGCAAAATGAAGCTAATGAAAGATTTACTCATGTGTACGTGATTTTGGATGCAATAAATTGTGGTTTCATCTCAGCAGCTTCCAAATCATACCGTCCTCCACATGCCCAGAAGAGCACCAGATGGCCGTTTAGTCTTATAGATTCTCGTTATTAGTAGGCACCAATCGACTCCAGCAGGAACAGTACTCATGAAAACTAGCTGAATACAACACCAGACATCAGCTTATGCCACTGATCAATGAAGAGCAGCGGCAGAATGTCATGGTTTACAAACTAACTGTTATGCAACGTTCCCTTCGGAGCCAAATTGTTTTCTGCAAGGTTCGGTGCGCCATAGCATAATTAGCTTGTAAATCTTGACGGTCCTCTGCGACCCGCATGTGTCAGAAGAATAACCCGTTGGCTGACGGTAAAGACGGTTAGCGGTCATGTGTTCATATCCTGCTGGAGCCCATGCATGCGCACCCCTGACGACTCCCGAGGGGACGAAACAGCCGTCTGGTGATTTCCCAGGCATGTGTGGAAATATCTAAATTTGAAACTATTGCGAAAAGTTCTGAGTCAACTTAACCTAGGATAACTATAAACGGCAACACGCATGGATGGTTGGAAACTGCAAACACCAGTAAACTATAGAGTTGCAACAAATCGAAATGACACATGTCCTAGGCTCACTACAGTGTCTGACAGGAATCTTCGCATCTTCGGTTGTAGTACATGTTCCCCGTGTGCATGAGTAGACCATGTAATGAAATAACCAAACACAGTGTCCAGTTATCTACAGAGAACATTGCATGCTTATTTGGCAATAACAGGCCTTCGTCCGAACCTATTTCTCTTTCATAGACAAGTATCATCATTAGTAAACACATTCCAGTAATGAGCCGATCTGCTGTGCATCTGAAGGACTCCAATTGTTACTCGGTTACTAGGACTAGGTTGAAGACCAAATCATTCACTCTCTATCAGTTGTAAGTTGCAGGAATAGACATGAAAACAGCTAGCAGATTTACAGAAACCAACAATCATACATTGTCCGGTATAAAACATTTGAGGAATGTGGCACGATGAGCAGCACCACCGTCAGAAGCGTGCTAGTGTTGACCAACGTGTCTTTTTGGTAGTCTTATGTCCTTTTCTCGTATATTGTCTCAATTTTGACAAAACCACTAAGCTAAGCAGAGTGCCGGAGTTTTTATGGATACCGATGTCAGCAGCATGTCAGCAAAGCTGAAGCACACCTTTGGTGAATTTTTAATCTGTCCGTTTACTCCAGGTTACGTGAATTATGATGTTCGTCCATTTTGCAGGATGTTTTCAACACAATTGTGAGGCGCAATCCAAACATCTACTACCGACTGCCATGTGAATGGAATGTCCAATTGTATGCTCCGGTGGCCGCTGTCTGTTGTCCAACTGTGTGGCCAGATCGACTACCGGTGGAAAGGGATTGCCTTACTCGGACTGGAAGGGGAGACAAGTCAGGTGTGAGGTTATTGAAACTGGCACATTTCGATCGGCATGACAAGCCCGAAACACCTGGATGGAAAGACTCGGGGATAATGAGAGGGGAGACAGGAATTGCCACACCACTGACTCGTGAGTGACTGCTTTCAATGTGTTGTAAAGCTAGTTGAAACCAACAGGATTTGTGACTTCGTATCATAGCAACGCAGATCAGATAGGCGTGAGTGCTGGTAATTTTACTCCGTCTGCAAAGGAATCGAAGTGGGAGTTTCACACAGTTAACGAGAAGGTCTGCATCGCCTTTGTGGGAATGATGAATGACCAGGAACAATGTCGAATGAAAACCTGTAGGGTTGGGGTTGAAAGTTCATAACGTATGAATCTGGATTTGCTTCAGAGGACATTCGTCACTATTGCGTTACACATGCGACAAAGCACTGTATGGCCGTTTAATCCATCCTGGAGTCGTCACTGCTGCAGATTCGACTACTACGGTGGCTAGTCTAACTCTGTGATCGTGCTCTCCCATGTCTTGCGGTTAGAGCCAGCGAAGCAAGGGGTTAGGTGGGCTCCCGATTGGCCAATTAACAGGCTGTAAAATAACAGGGCATATCCTCTATTGGAATGCGTTTCCCGTGTGCATGGGAAAGGGTAGGTGTCCTAGGGACGGAATAGCTTACCCAGCTGCTGTCGTCCGAGAACACTATAGGCTAGGTTGAATAACCACTGAGTGTTAGTATGCAGTTAAAGGAAGAACTCTGCTTACTCTCAAGGACACAGTCATTGCAGTGCGTGAGGGGTTCGAACGAATGGCAACCTGAGGTCAAACCCAGGATTACCTCCATGATATGATCAGTTGCTTTATAGTCCAGTTCCGCTGCACAAGTGATCCCAATATCCATACTTGATTTATCACGATGTTACCAGTAACCAACTCTCGATCGGTGCTGCGTATATCGATAGTTGCTCCTTACTTTTCTCCTCGCCAGATGCTAGCCTCCCGAACCGACCATTTGTTGTATCAAGCAGTACATTTCATACGGTCGATTCTGCTCAGTAACTGCAAGCTGCAAATTTTGCGCGTCTTTAAGTGAACAGGATGTTGCTGTTCTTCGATTTATCTTTCATCTCCTACAATCTGCAAAGGCTGTGTAGTGTTAAGGTACTGGGTATGATTTTGTAAAATGCTACATTCCCGTTAACTTGTGCTGTGTCGCCGTGGGCTGTTCACACCCCACGACTGCAGAGAGAACGCGACGATGAGCCAGGACCGCGTTGTACGCATGAGAACACAGCTTCTTTATGTAGGGTACAAAAGTGAATGAAGCAAAGTTACTAAAGCAAGTTGGGACCAACCAGCAGCACAGGAGACGCTGAATAAGACAGGCGAACATAAAGATAAAAGTAAGCGTCAATTAGGTATATCCGTGAAAACCATATTAGCTGAAATGGGATCTCTAGGAAACATCCACTGCGAATGATGTATGCTGACCAATCAGGTTAACGTAATGACGCGCTAAATAATGTTAAGAAACAGACAATAGTGAAGCGGAAGCAGGTAACTAAGAACTGCCACTGAAAACACTTTTCCAATAGACCTCTCCCTAACAACTTACAACCGAACAACTGGTTCCGGAACGATGCCGAATAGCGAACGAAGGAGATAAATTCACCCGTTGCTAAAATTTGCGAATGCACTCACTGGTTGGAGAGTGAAACGTAAATTAGCTGTTGGATGAGGACGCCCTATATATATCCGTTCCTTGACCTAATCGGCATTTACAGCTAATCTGCTGGCGAATCTGTGGCCAGGAAAATCGCTATATGATTAGCGTGACACAAACTTGTTAGGACTGATGGCAACGTTGGGCTGATCGAAGCGTTTGAATATTTCTCAAAGTTGCGTGGCGTGCTCTACACTGTTTGACTGGCTGTCAATTCGCCGTCAATATAAAGAAACGCAAAGCCTCCACTACGTGCAACTGGTGCATGAGGATTTCGGAGAATTAGGTGGAGCTGTGAATAGGTTATAATGATGTAATGATGGTTCACAGCTGTTCTGTTAATAGCATATGGGGCTATGCGAATTTAACAGTGAACCTGACCATGCCAAATTCAGCAAACAGCAAAATTCCCCAGTTGTTCGACAAAAACATCATGGACATCTGGGTTGGATTTTGTATCGGGAACAGTAAAGCTGTTGGTAGCTTGATAGTTACTTCACTTAATCCAGTGGTCGTCTTGAGTAGCCACTAGATGAAGAGGAGTTGCCTGGTGTCAGCTGTAACTGTGAATGATACCGGGACTATTTATGAGTACAATTCACTTTGCTGTTTCTGTCGGTCGTGTTTTAGGGACCTTGGTATCCACAGTATTTTATATATATACATATATACATACACACATTTATATGTATATATATATATATATATATGAGCGGACATGTTATGACGTACGATGATGCACCTTGCGATTGAGTCCGGCCGTGTCAGTATTCATTCTGAAAAGATACGCGAAATAGGTAACAGTGATGAATGTTTTGAGCGTACAAATATAGTTACGAGAATTTGAACGAATTTAGCGGCGATGTGCTGATCAGGGTCAGTTAAAAGCGTGGTTCCGTCACACACAACTTCCCGCGAATAGGTCAACCGATGCCAGGGTGGTACGCATGTATTTCGGTAAGCACAAAGATAAGCAAGAACTCGCATCCTAAGACTGGATTCAAGGTAAGGCGTTTCTGACTGTAGGTCACAAATTTTGCGGATCTTTTTCAGTTAAGCGCCGCCAAAAAGTTAAGCCCCGCCACCCAAAAAGATTATGAAAAGGGAGGATATGGAACTTGAACTTTTACTCTCTATTGAAGAGGGTGAAATGGAGACAAATTAATAATTGGCATGAAAAGTCCATTTTTCGGTGTCTCTGCCTTCAAACGAACTCACACAGGTAGCTGTCCACTAAAGATCGGTGTGTGCCGCATCGGCGCTTATTCTGCATCTTGTAAATGTGCCAGAAAGATTCGATGGTTTGTGTGTGAGCTCCAGTCGTTGGACCCACAAAGTTTTCGGTATGATTAACCGTTTGATGAGTATAACTCAAGCCAATCATCGATTCAATGCCCTGGTATGTTGCCCACATATCGGAAATGATAACTGAGCCGGGAGCGATGCAGGCCTGGATTGTGTCCAGCAGAGTGGCCGCAGTTCGATCTGGCACTGCATACAAGAACACTTCTTTAGTCTCCCGGCAAATCCCTCCGAAAATCCACTGCTGGGGAAGGACTCGCCCTGCATGGTTTTTACGACGTGATATTAGGGTTTCATCGATCTCGACATGTAGACCTGGACCGCCGACAATCGTTGGAGTCTGCAAAAGCTGCCAGGCGCAAATTTCACGCAGAAAGTTCTTCCAGTCGACAGCGGTTGCGTGGCCAATAGATAACTCCTCTGAGCAGAATTTGATTGTTGTCAGATTTTTAGACCAGCATTAAATGAATAGGATTATTGTCCTGAAGTCCATCCTAGACCGCTGCAGCCAAGTTCCCTTTCGAAGAACGATTTCTTGCCGACACTGTCGGGCATCACACCTCCACCTGTCAGAAACAGTTGAAAGTGTCATTTGGTGTCCTCGTCTGCATAAACGTTGATGATGAATCACTCCATGGCTTTGCAAAAAACGTATTGCTGTTTCCTTGTCATGAACGATCGCCGAAAACGTCAGATAGTTCATGTCAGGTTTTCCCTGCGAACGTAGAATCCTTTAGTACAAAAATGACCTTAGAAGCGGATAAGGAGTGTTTTTATGGGGCACGTTCACATGCATTACGTACACTGGAGCTGGCAAACAGTGGCAAGGCTCAACTTTTCACGCGTGCCCTTTTTGCACTATTGGTTGGGCTTGACTTTTCAGGTGTGCCCTTTTTGCCTTAGTGGCTGGGCTTAACTTTATGCGCGTGCTCTTTTTGCATTAGTGGCGGGGCTTAACTGGAAAAGATCCAATTTTGCCAGACTGTCTCCCTTGAAATTTTTCGTGCTTGCTGTGATCACCTCTCTCCGAGGAACTAATTAAACTGTATTTCGCTAGCACGAAGCAAATGTGAAGTATAGTTATTGGGCCACACGCATATATTAGGCCACTGTGAATGGTGAGTGGGAAAAATGATCCATCAGTTGGCTTCTCCTCCTACCCAAAACGTCTGTAGATTTTACATGCCTGCGCATGGGCCATTAATTGCACTGCATACCATTTCCTTCATAGATTTGGATAATACTATCCAATGCATGCGCCCAAAGTCAGTCTAGGTAACTTCGCTTGATTTGGTGTGCGAGTTTTACACGTTTATCTTATGTAATTAATCCACCTGATGCAGTTGTTGATGCAGGCAAATGAACCTCATCGGATGGATGTTCTACATTACTTTTAGAAACCGCATTGATCATCCGGTTCAAGGAGGTCTATACACGATTCCGTGACATCGCACAACATTATTACACATGAAGAAGAGTGACACTTCGGAACACTGGTGTCAGGATGGTCTGTGTAGCCCATGCATGTATCGGACTGATTTTCCCATTTTTGTACAACCAGAGATTATATAGAGGAATTACCCGGGCATTTACATTATATTTTGTCACAAAGCGCAGAGGTTTCATTTAACTCCATTGAGGAGCAAACAGAAATCCCGTCGATGCTGATTCGTCCGGTAAGCAGGTCTCCGACCAGCACAGTGCATCACTACAAGTCTTTGCGTGGGTCCTGGGCATCGTTTAGCGATGGAAATACTATGGTGCGAAAGTGTAATCCAAAATCCGGTTAGGGCATCCAAACTGTGACCAGCAACTTGGGCAGTGGTGTAGCAACTACCTTTTCCTCCCGGCGGACGTAAAATTCCAGCCGCAATGACAACTGTAAATCTGTAAACCCAAACTATTACGAACGGAAGTTACATATTTCTTTACGTGTAACAACAATCGAAGGTCTAGGTTTAGAGTGCTGCTTCATTGGCAGGTATTTGAATTATTACAATACGCGTGTAGGAAATTTGCCGATACGCTTGTCGTGCATTACTTGATGCAAAAGAATTGATAACGCTAACCAATTTAGTCCATTGGCAAGTTCTCTTGGTATGGGAAGAACTGCCAATCCGTAAACTTTATTAGGTTCATTGAAGAGTGAAGAATCTTTGTAAAAATGTTGCGTTTTGAGAATGCGCTCTCACAGCTGGCAGTACTAATATTTCGTGTAAGATTGATACACAGCAGATTTCCCAAGTTGATATTTATATATGAAGCCCAAAAGCTTAGCAGGTCCATTACCTTTTCGTTCCTTGAGGCTTTCACTAAAAGCTGCCGTCTTCTTCTCTCCGCCATGAATTCCTATGTTCGGCTTCTTCAACAACTTTGCTAAGCGGATAATCATAGTTATAATTAAGCAGATTAGCGGTGTAAGCAAAGCATATGTGCTTGAAAAAGCATGCAGTTGCTGAAATCTATGGCATTTCGTTAGTCAGACACTCTATGAACGGAAGCACCTCCCGCTTAACTCAGCATCAGATCACATCGATATGTAAACTAATTCTTCACCGTTCATTCGTTTTGTTTCTCGGATTCGATCGTTCATGTTTGTTCCCAATTCGGCGTGTTGCCTTTTGGTTTCATCCATTTCCATGTCAAGCATTTTCTCTCCTTTCTGAAGATAAAATCTTAACAATGCAAGCTTGACAGTACTTTACCGTAGGTCCAGCCCTAATGCGCATCCTTGATTTCTATATGAACAGAATTTTAAGGGAGCAGAAACAAAATAAACGGAAAAGACGAGACCGAGATGAAACATAAAGATGCATTTAATCTCCTTACCCTGTGGAGTGTTCCAGAAAAGTGATGAACTCCGAGTATTTCTTCACCACAATATTTTCAACACCTACTCGACTACTCCACCTAGATTTTACAGCCACTTGATACTTAGACTGGTGACATAAATCATAAAATTTCAGCAAATTTAAGATAGAAAATGAGGATATCCGGTCCACCGAACCAAAAGTGTAACAGTATGAACGGTCACAGAAGCAGCATGGACATAAGCCAGATTCAGGAATAAGTTAGTTCATGACACAAATGGGGCTCTGGGTTGATTTCGCAGATGTCTCAATACACCCGATTTGTAGCCCGCCATAACCGAAGCACTGTCAAACATCTGAGCCCGGCAGCCATCCATCTGTACGCAATCTGTTTCGGGTCTCGTAATATTTATCCCGAAATGTTCGCTGTCTTTTGCTGTTGGTCTCAGTGAGGCTGAGGATTGACTCCACTGCGGTCGTTTCATTTCCACTCATCTAAGTTTCGTGGAATGCATCGGGAGTGCTATCAAAAAACGCAAACATACTTGCTTTTCTTGACCTGATCTATGAAGTTCTTTCTCATCCGCTCTACCAAAATAATGGCCAATTCAATTTCATGTATGGCGACAAAGAAAATGGGCTGGTTTTCCTTCCCTGCTGAACTACCACCAAAGGTTCGCGAAGAACAGATTTATAATCGACCAATAAATGCATAAATCCTGGTCCTTTTTTTCAGCATGGAGGTCTTCTCGGTGACAATACAGTATCACATTTCGCATGGAGAGCAATCTGACGATATCCAGTATTCTAGCTGGAATTTTATGCCAGCAATTTTTACGAGTACTAACCACGTTTTTTATCAATTGCCTTTCCTTCAACTAGCCGGATCGCTATCTACTTGCGGTTGACGAACGACTGAGCAACCGACAGACTATATCTGTTTTCACATGCTTTGGATTTAGTTTCCACAATTGCTGAAACTCTCATCAATCGAAACTGTGGACTATCCCGTTGAAAACAACCTGCAGCCAAAGCAAAACAGGGCACGTTTTGTAGAAGAATACACCAACCGGATTCGCATTCTTTGCTCAGTTCCGCAAATCCCGAAAAAAAACAATTCGTTGTTAGATTCTTAGCCCCAGCTTTTGTAATCGTTTCAGGTAAAACCACATATTGAACTTATTATCACCGTGCTGCAAAACAGTAGGTCCGAGCCAGATTAACATAGCGAGATTTGCATGGCAAAGCTTAAGAGTCAACTGACCTACATCAATAAAATCGGTTGATGTGCATAGTATCGTGCCAACGTGCGGGTGCATGTTTAATTCTTCAACTTCGCGCAACTTCTACATCAGCGTTACAAAGATTTCCTGCTACCTACATGCTGTAAATGTCGTATTCTGCTGCTCGGATATTAACGTTTGTAGTGCCAATTTCATCTTCATTCTCAACGTGATTGTCAACTTCAGCTTTGCCACATCAATCATGGGGGTAATTTTGATGAAGTCATACTTGATATTGAAATACCAGCCCTATTGAAAATGATGCCCTTTCGCATACCGCCCGGGGCGGAATGCCATGCAACCCAATACTACGCCTCTGAACTTGGGATGCTACCTTGACCTACATTGAGGTGAATTTTATGCATGATACTCACATCTACTAACTCGCTTACATATCAATATTAACAAGCGAATATTTATTTCCAACTGCACAAACCAAGCTCCTGTTGCGTCCTTGATTCTCCCAGCCGCGTCAAGAGAAAGAACTCATACCGGCTCTGCACACAAACGTTCTATTCAGGTTTCTGAGATTCTGTACAATTAGCTGGGTGTTTAAAAACCCACTCGTCGACTCGATCTCTCGTCTGATCGACCGCGCTGACGCAGACGATAACCCTCGCCCCCGGTCTCAGCCATCATCACAGCCTTCCATTGTTCATTTTTTCTCAGTTTCTGTGTTACATTTGACATATCCTCCTCCATTGCGGGCGTGCTTCCGGTCTAAAGCAGTGACAGTCGTATTAAGGTTAAACTGCATTAGAACGTTAGCTGCTGTCATCATTTTCTTCGCCTTTCACTGAAGAAACGCTAAATCGAGCTTGTCCCGAACTAGGTCGACAGCGCTTTTCTTCCTTCCAGTATCATGAGGCGAGGATGATCATTCTGCTCTTTGACACTGCTAAGTCGTTTCTGTAGTATAGTTTCAGTTTTTATGACACTGTTTCCTTTCGGCAGCAGCCTCGGTTCGTTCGACCTTTAGAATCAGCTGTGTAGCTTTCCGAGGGTAGAATGTTGTCTGTGGTTCGTAGATCAGGCTGTGATGTTGCTGATCGTAATTATGTCAATGACGTTGGGAAGACGCACTCTTGTTCCCTAAGTCCTTCTGAGTACTTTATAGTGGAATTCTTCGTCCCTAGCTGACATTCATTATCCACTGATCTGGCATCGACCCACCGGCTGCTACTGAGGAGAAGGGTTGATCGACCGTCTTAATAGTTCTTACATCCTTAGGTTATTTGCGAAAGATCCTCCATTCCATCTTGGTCATTGAAATTCCACGTCTCCATTATACGGCACGCTTCTTGGCCGATAGCATATCGGAATATGGTCATCTGGTAGGGCCTCGGAAATCCATCCAACTGGGTCAATGCTACGAATTCCATCCCATTCGCTTTTCCTTTTTCTAGTTGTCAGTAGCGTGGTTTCTGTCAGCTGTAGAGCTGTCTGCAGTGGTTCGACATATGTTCAACGGAAGCGAGCGGGGTCTGTCGTGTCAACTTCTTTTCCTCTGTCACCCTACGTTCTATCCAGAACTGCGGTGAAGATACGTCAAGAAAGCAACATCAGCCTCAACGTCAGCAGTTGGGCTAAAACAACTTGCACTTAAACTAAGTCTTTTTAAGCTGGATAAATCTCATTCCACTATATTTGGTTTGTACTGCCTACCTGAATAATCTCCCATTAAATGGCCAAGTTGCTTACCCTGATTGCGCTTATCTTCAGTAACTATGTTGGGTTTGTAGCATTTTTACGTAACTTGCGGACACTTCTTACTTATCGCGGATTCGTTGTTAATCAACTTACTTCATATACTAATTTGGCGAAGAGTTATGCCCCCGCATCTGTATGCATTATACGATTTATTTCATTTTATCACACTTGGCCCAAACCAATCAATGCTGACGTGCTATGTGGTTGGCTGAAAATTCCTAGCTAACATACAAACACAAGTGCTGGAAAGCGATCGATTTCACGTGCAGTCTATGTGGTTGACATACTTGATCACTGTCACACCCTCCTCGGTTAAAAAAGTTAATGTTGCACATATGATCTTTTGCTCGGAATGATAATGACTCGCTTAATTGGGGAGCTTGTACTTGCGGAATGTCTTCGTTCAAGTTCCACTTCTGTGCTAACACGAACGCGTTACTCTGGTTGTGGATCCATTGGCTTAGGCAAAACAAATGTATCTAAAAGGATGTGTAAGGGAATCTCTGTAGTGTCATTTTGCTTAACCTGTTCGGGTGTATACCGATGTTTGATGTGAGTCACATGACGTGTAGTCAATAGGTTTTGACATTTCACTTCATACAAGACATTTTATTTATGCTTTGACACTTCCTGAAATCCAACGTGTGTGTTTATCCCTGTAGTTGTACACAAAGAGTGGATCAACGGGAGGAAAATATCTCATGCGTGTACCGTGCTTACGATTGAACTGATCTGCCATTTTCTGGTCACACACATTGGTCTCTTTTGCTGGAAACATGGCAACTAATGGTATGCGTAAGAATCGACCAATAAAAAGTTCCGACGGCGATTGCCGCTTTGGAATAACTGGATTCAACGTTGAACGATACATGCGTAAGCATACATCCAAGTTTATAACAATATTTCCCTCTCTTTTAAGTTTAAACAGAGCCCGTTTGAATGTATCCACAAATCTCTCAGCCTATCCATTTGACTGGGGATGATAAATTGGACCACGTATATGCCGCACACCCATGGATTGAAAAAATCGCTTGAATTCGTTCGATGTGAATTGTGGACCGTTAACAGTGGCAAGTGTTTTTAGGGACCCTAACTGTTCGAATTAACGACGAAGTAATGCGATTGTTGAAGCGGTCGTTGCTTGAGTGACACAAACTATTTCTGACCAGTTTGAATGTGAATCAACCATAATCAGAAAATATTGATTTTTCAGTGGACTTGCATAATCCACCTGAATCTGCATACCGGCAGCAGGTGATTTCGGCCAAGGATGAAGGTGAAATTTGTTGGGGGAATTCCGGAGCCTGGGCACACTTTGAACAACTACGAATCACGCCTTCGATATCTTTATCAATATTTGGCCAAGAAGCATAACATCTAGCACGTGATTTCCTTCGTGTAATTCCCTGGTGTCCGGCGTGAAACACTTGTATTACTTTTACTCTCAGATTTTTGGGGATCACGATGCGATCTGCCTGCATTAAACAGTCGTTCACTATTGTTAAGGCATGTTAAACGCAAAATATGGTTTAATTTCAGGTTCTTATAGAATGCTTGGCCAACCGTTGCGAAAATAAAATATGACTCGTTGTAAACAGCTATCTGACCGCCTCGACTCACAAATGTCATTGTGCGCAATTGGTAAGTTTCTTATAGACACTTCAAAGATAGATTTTATCTCAGCATCAACTACAACTGATGAGATGACCACGGCTTCATATGGCTGGGAATTTAATCTATTATCCTTCGGGCGCGATAAGGCGCCAATATGGCCAAAGCATTCCGAACGGATGTCTTTAATGATAAAATCATATCCGATAGGTATTGTTGTCCAACGTTGCAGGAGATTTGCGGTGTTAACAGGAATTGCATTCATGTGATCAATGTATAACTTGAATTTCTGACCATGCCACATCTCATGAAACTTTTGACTGCAAACAAAATTGTTAAACCCTCTTTTCAATTTGGTTGTAAATCTGTTCGGTTGTTGTTAGCGTGCGTGAAGGACAACTGACCGCTTTCTGCCTACCATCTGAAAACTGCTGCAAGAGTAGAGCTCCAAGTCCATAATCTGAGGCGTCAGCAGCAACCATGATAGGTTGTTTGGGGTCATTGTGTGTAAGTGCAAGCTCAGAGTTTAACATACGCTTTAGTTCATCAAATGCCGACTGAAAAGCTGGGGACCATTCCCAGTTTGCAATAGTTTTCAAGAGTGCATTTAGTGGCATCCTTATCGAGTGCATTTTAGGGACAAAGTTACTGTACTAGTTATCTATTCTCCAAAACGACTGCAGTGTTTTCCTGTCCTTTGGCACTTGCAGTTGTTAGATTGCCATAAATTTTTTGATGGATCAGGACGACGACCATTGGCATAAATGATTGAACCAAGATACGCAATTCGAGACATGAAGAACGCACATTTGTCGAATCGCAGCGTAAAACCGAAACTACTGATCCTGTCAATCACTTTGTTTAGGTATGCCAGATGTAGCTCAACTGAAGCGCTTAAGATTATTACGTCAGCCATGTAAGCCAAACCAAAAGGGAACCCATTTAGCCTTGTGTTGTCCATTACTTGTTGCGAAATTGCCGGAGCACACTTAATTCCAAACGTCACTCTGTTGTATTGATATAGACCCTTATGAGTATTAATGGTGAGAAACTGTCTTGATTCCTCATGAACTCCGAGTTGTAACTAGGCATTATAATGGTCCATATTAGGAAATATTTTGCCACCATGTAACTGCTCAAATAATTTATCCGGAATTGGCAATATGTATTGGTGAGTCTGAAGTGCAACATCATTGCAACCCATCTATCCATTCAATGCCTAATATATTTCGATCATTTTCTGCTGCAATATTGCATGTTCCACTTCATTTGTAGTTTAGCGTGAAAGCATGGTTTAATTTTCCCAAAAAGGTGATTGGCTTGCCAGAAGCGTTCCGAACAGTGCATTTTGTAACACAGTACTCCGATGCGACAATGCATTTGCAAGTCGATTATGAAATGATTGTTGTGTCGGAAGC